TTTGTCAATACCTAAATTCAATGAATTGAAGTACAAATTGCTTGATCATCCACCGTATTCGCCAGATTTGGCACCCAGCGACTTCTGTCTGCTCCGAAACCTGAAACAATTCCTCCGTGGAAAACATTTTTTGTCGAATGAAGAAGCTATAGCAGCCATAGAGGCATATTTCGCAGACCTTCCAGAAACACACTTCCGCGATGGAATAAAATTATTGGAGAGCCATTGGGCCAAGTGTATTGAAGTTAATGGAGACTATATTAAAGAATAAAATCATTTTTAGAATTTGATATTCTTTATTTCAGTGTCGCTCCGCGAACTTTTCACGCAACCTGTAGATACTAAGCATTAAATTTTGAAATCCCGAAATCCCGGGGTTTGTGATGTTGAATCCCGAATATTTTCGGGACCAAAAACTTGGCCGGGACCCCGGGATTGGAAACTCTAACTATGTCATTCCTTGACGCCATGATCCTTTTCCGACTGACCGTTTCCGCTGAAAATTCTCCTTAAAACGCTAGCGACTAAACGCTGTTTATCGCAGCATCGTGCAAATGCTCCAACGCTAGCGACTTTGTCAGCCAGAAATTCGCTCCAAGAAAGCGAGAAGCTGGCGACAAAAGAAGCCAGCGTCGAGCGTCAAGCGTCGAAAGTATCATCGTGTAAATCACCCTTTAGATTCCGAGGCGTGCGCGGAACCTCAGGAACAGACATCGGCCTGTTTTCCTCGGAGACACAGCCCGACCGACGTGGCAAACTGTCGAAGTTTGCCGTGAAAAGGCTGCCGCGTAGAGTTCGCACGAGCGCGCCACGTGCCCGATGTAATCGGACATTCGCGTTGGACACTCGCGCGGTGCGATAAGGTGAAAGTCCAACACTTGCGTTGATAAGCAAGAAACGGCCGCCGCGGTGCGGCGGACCGGGGACCTAACTAAAGTCTCACAAAGCGGCGTCGACCAGCAAACCCGGATCGGCACTTGTCGCTTGCTAGCGGGCGAGCTTTGAAGCGCGGGATAACTAATGATGCCGCGCGCCGCGTTAAACCGCCGTGACATAAATAGGGCAGAATAACAATGCATCAAGCCCGAACTTACCTTCGAGTGGATTGAGATTTATGAGATCGGGATGCGATAACGTGTTACGCAAGAAACCTCAACGCGCGCCGGCTTTTTGTCCGGCTCTTGATACAGAGTGTATCAAAAGGTAAGGTCAAGCGGTGAAATGGTCTCTCTCCTCTGTATATATGAGAGAGAAAGAAAAAGAGAGAGAGAGAGAGAGAGAGAGAGAGAGAGAGAGAGAGAGAGAGAGAGAGAGAGAGAATGGGAGGAGCGAAAATATGTAGAACAAATAATGTGTGTAAACTTGTCTTGCCTCGGCTGCGGTTTCGCTTCTTACCTCGGCGTTTCTACATTTTCCGACGGCGACACGGGTAGACAATAATCGTTAGATGCGGCGCGTTTCTTGTTTGCGAAACGGAACAGAACGGCAATCACGTGACCCGCCTCACGGACTTGCTTTATTATATCGGGGAAAATGTTCGAAATCTCTTCCTCTTACTCTTTCTCTCTCTTACGCGAGCGTTCGCCAACGCGGCAACAACGGCACGCAGCGCGCGCGTTCGAACAATCTGTGCTTTCGCGACGGTCTTTGATCGGTCGAGCTCGCGGTACGCCCGCGCCGCGTTTCTCTCGTGCAATCGCAATCGGAGAAAAATTCGATCGCTTTCCTAATCGCGTGACAACTCGAGACTCCACACGCAGGAGAAATGTGTGAACGAACGGAACATTATTTTTCCTCACGCACCCCCTTTCCTTTCCACACAGATACATCTACTATGTGCCAATCGACCTCTCTCTTTGACACAACCTGTAGGGAATTTTGTAACAGCGCACATAGCGCACGTGGGAGTATTTACAACGCGTAATTGTGCTTCGCCCGGAACACTGTCGAAAAAGCTTCGACGGGGATAAAAAGATGATCCGCGGTTAGCGCGCGCGCGCGCGCGCTCGAAACGAGATGAATCCTCGAGCGTGTGACGTTTTTACGACAGTGGGTGTAGGAGGGGGGGGGGGCGGAAGAGATAAAGCCCGGCGCGTTCACGGGGGAGTTGTAAATGTATCTTAACGAGCCACGAGCGCCGCCGGGGCGAGGATTAAACCGGCTTGAAAATCTGCGAACATCGCGCGGAGCCGCGCGATGCGCCGCACGAATCCTTCTTCCACGGTTCCTCGTCTCTGCGATCTGATCGAGCGGACGATCGCGGCATCCAGCCCTGAATAAATTGAGATAAAATCGGCCGAGGATCGTGCGCAGGAGCTTCCTCCGCTGGATAACGACGCAACGCGAGCGCTCGCGCGGACCGCTATCGTCTCTCGAGATCTGTTCCCTTTCGCAGTCGGAAGCGATGTTTCTCACTCTTGCATCCAGATTATGCTGGATAATTAGTCGGCCGCGTTCACCACCTGCACGTGGAGATGCAGCGAGTACGCAACAATTAGTACGTAAAACGCATTACACGATTACGTTTTACGTTTTTATGTTACTCCCGCGCGCGCGCGCGCGCGCGCGCTGCGAATTTCAGGCGGAGCCAGGACGAAGAGCGAGGAGCTTTGAACATCGAATTGCATCTCAGGCGACGATTTGTCGCGTGAAAGTAATTTGGGGCGAAATGACACACCGCACCTCAAGCGAAGCTAATTGTTTGAAACGATGTAACGAGCGCGACTGCGCTTCCGACATTTTTCGGAACATTCTTTTGTCCCGGGAAATGACACTTTTTTTTTATCATGAATGCCCGATGTGAATAAACGAGCGATCTTTTTTCGACGCTGACGTCACTAATGATGTAAAATTGTACGTTTCGTGTACGACAGTGTTGCACTCTCCGAGTCACGTCACGCTGGAGCGAGCGTCCGTGCTTTATTGCATTATATGCAAAGTGGAGCGAGATTAATATGAGAACAAGATTTCATCGCGAATTTGATAGTTTTCACTAAACCGGAGGATCGCGTGACACTCGCGTTACCGATCCTCCTCGCGTCTTACGTGCGCAAAGTGCTTGATCCACATGGTAAACTGTGCAAGCGAGAAGAGCCATTATTTAAGTATTACGGAGAAACTTTCGTCGGATTAACACTAACAGTCCAAGTCTGTATATATGCGCGCGCGCGCGCGTGTGTGTACGTGTGTGTATATTGTACGTACACATACACACGTTACAAAATCGTAATTGCAATATCCACATGGAGGTGGTCGCGGAGGACAAGAGAAGTACCGTCATAGAATCTGTCTGCATTTCCCCGCGGGAGAATCGGAAGTGTTTGGGAGGAAAGTTTCTCTCCATAGCTGCTAGCGAGAGAGATATAACTGCTTAAGAATTCCAAAATATATTTTATCTTGGCCGCATACATCGCGGGAGCTGCTCTTGTCGTAAACTTCGAAAGTAAGTTGAAGGAAAGCGGAGTTGACGGAGTGGCCGGAAATTGACGCGCAACCGGCAGCGATGGCAAACAACGCTGTTTATTTGATATATCGTATTCGACGATGCCTCCTCGCTTATCGTCTCGCTCTTGACGATGAGGGTCTTGACGACGAGGGACGCGGAGCGAGTGGCGATTTATTCAGCTTATAATCTCGCCTCCGTGGATTACTGTATATTACCGGAGAGATTGCCGTGATGATTCGCGCTTCGCGGATGCGAAGGACGAAGTAATCAAAGCCGACGTCGCGTCTCGCGTCTCTCGGCCGAGAATGAAGGATAAAGCGCTTCTTAAGATCCCCTGTGGGAGCTAGCATTGAACTCGCTATTCTAGAATGCCAGACGCGCCATTGATTCGCACCTGCCTCGCGCTCAAATAGAAAAGCGGCGGCCAGAAAAGCGGGCGACGAGCGATTGAAAATCGCTGGCGCCGTTAGATCCCCTCCAGTTCGTGCCCTCCTTTCAGCGATTGCACAAAGCGCGTATTCTTAGAATTAACAGATTCCAGCGCGCTGCTGATTAACGGTTACCCCGCACTGGTATATCAATGATGGTTTGGGATTATCGCTCAAAACGATACACGTGCGGCCTACATTGTAACATCGAGCATCGCGACGGACCCACCACCTTAAACATTTGCATGCGTTGTTTCGACTCACCGAAATACCAGAAATTCAGGATCAGCCACGTTCTGCTGCAGCTCTGAAACGAAAATAGACGAAAAACGTCGTTGATTAGATGCAAAACTTGATAATCTCATGAGAAAAATTAGCATGGGCGCATGAGTACGTTGATCTTGTGACTTGACAATTTTCACTCGGACAACTGTCTCAGTTTTCAAAGGTTTTAATAAATGCTGAGTACACAGAAGTGTGTACTCTTTTATAAACCTACCTTCTCGCCGAGCCGACCTTGCTCGGCCCGAACCGAATCCCTTGATGCAGCATGCACATCGACCGTAACTGCATTTCCCAGGAGCCACATTCATCGTACAGCCACAAACTCCATCAGCTGTGCAACCAAAAAGCAAGTCCTCTCATTAGTTGCATCAATAGACGTCGTTGCATCAAGAATACGCAGGCTCGAGACAGTGCATTTTTAGAGCAATGTAGAAGAAATAAAACATGATTATTCCGAGAACTCGAAGATGCTGTTCAAGATGATATTATCAAGTCAATCATGCGTGCAAAATGATGCAACATGTCTCAATTAACCAATTTCTTTTCGAGTTAAGGGCTGTTGTACGATTGCTCGTAGTGCGACCGCGCACATGTGCATGTTTTCGTTCCCGAGGCCACGTGTACTGTTACGTCTATATTCATTGATTTAATATCTTTTATATTCTGATATTACGCGCACACACACACACACACACACACACACACATATATATATATATATAAATAATATATTATTTTAATTCTTCTATATATTTGGACCGTCATGTGAAATTCCGCCGTCGCGCAAGCGTTTGCGCTTGTCTTGCAATCGACTTAACGTTACAAATTCTCCATTCCGTCAGGATGCCAATTTTATCCGGTCGGCGAGTACCTGAAATTCGTCAGGGTACCGGAGAACCTCGAGACGGGGACCGAAATTCTCTCACTGGAGGCCCATCCGAGAAGCCGACTTGCCATTTTGCCGGTCGACAAGGTACTGCCTTAATTTCCCGCAAATTTCGAGATGACCACGGCCGAGAACCGCAGAAAGCGACCATTCTCCTTCGCGGAGACGTACGGAGGTATAGTCTGTTGAGTAAATTTCATTTTGTAGGAGGAAGACGCTGATTTCTTCGCGTACAAAGAGACGAACAAAACGCACGTTTCCTTGGTCCTCGCACAGTCCTTGGAGGATCTGGTGGATGCGGAAGCCCCGAGGAACCTGTTGAAATTTCGAGTCTCCTGCGAGTCGGGCACCGATGATTCGTTGGTAAACTCCACAATTCCGATCTTTCGCGCGGTTGTTAGTCTGGCATTTCCCCGCACGCGACGGAGCTCAATCGACACCGAAATGCCTGTTCGCTCGAGGGGAAAAATCCGATTTCGGAGCGGCTCGATAATTTATCGGGGTTCCGCTTCGTGACTTCGAATTGCCGGGTGTCACCGGTTGCCCTTTGGACGACGACTGTCGGTTAAACGCGCGGACTTTTTCACGCGGGCATTTGACTTTTGAGTTTGTTACCGCGAGTGCAATCAGAGCGTGCGGCGACCGGTTCGACGCGAAGGGGCGCGAAGGAACGGTGGCTTGGCGATCTTTTTTTTTTTCTTCTCAACCGTTACCTATACATAATACTTAACGTGCATTTATGTAACGATTCGAAGTACGTAGATACGAAGTACGAGAGATACCAGAGCCGCGCAATACACATCGCGCTCGCTCAACACCCGCGCAACGTCGTTGGGATTTCGTTTCCCCTCGGCGTGCTGTCGGCGAACGCGGCGCGTCGAATCGGAGAGGCGGCCTGACGCCTCTTTCTCTCTCTCTCTCTCTCTCTGCGGTCCACTTTCCGCTTTTTCATAATTCAGCGTCCGAGACCGAGAGCGCCGCGCGCGACGTTCTGCAAGATCCCTCGGCCGCATCCCCCAACACGCCCGGCAACCAGCGGGCTCGCGTCGAGCCGAAAGCACTGATCGATGGCGAGCCTCGCGCGAGATCCTCGCCGTCCGCCGCAATATATACTATTTACCCGGCTGAATTACGATGATTACGGCTCTCGCGTGCGAACCTCCGCGGCTACTCTTAACCTGCTATCGATCTCGTCGGCGACGAGCGTGCATACGCTTAAATAAGCGCCGTTCCGCTGGGAAGCCGAGGCGTCGGAGTACACGAAATACCGTTTCCGCGACGGAGAACCGGTTCGGCATTCTTTCGTTCTTTCGTCAATTTTCGTTCCTATATGTTCGCCCGCCCTTTTTTCTTTCGTTTCTCAGACGCGATGGTCGCGGTGTCGCTTCTCCGTTTCGCGAGAGCGACGACGGAATAGCCGAGTATCGTCGTACGATAATTCCGCATTGGTCGGGAACAAGAGAAGCGAGAAGGGCGGCGGCGGCGGCGGCGGCGGCGAGGCGCACAAGTGTGACTTATGTTTTCGTCGTTTATGTCCAGGTATCGTCGCATTTGTCGGTGACGGTCTACGTGGAGGATATAAACGACCACGCGCCGCAATTTGTCGATGCGCCTTATCATGTGACGGTGGACGAGCTCACGCCAGTCGGTGAGATACACAGCGTGCAGCGATACCACATGCCGTCGCGCGGCACACCTGTGAATAATTCGGTTAATTAATACCCCGCTCGCTCGCATACACGTACGCGCACGCGTAATTCGCGCTCGCGGAAATGAAACGCCGGGCCGTTCGCGCACGGTCCGTTGCTCTCGAACACGTTTCAGAGTCTGACGTGCGGCTCGCTCTTTTTCTTTTTTTTTTGTTCTTCTACGTACGACCGATCGGTACGGCTTTTTGCAGTTATTCAACGCTAATCCCTGCCGAACGTGTGTGCAGCAATTCGCCCGGTGGCGAGATTACAGAAGCGACTTCTCGCTTCTGTAATAGGCGAGGCAAATTCGTGTGGCGATGTAAAAAAATCCCGCTTCTTTCGCGAGCGCTGCAACCGCGGCGGAAAGTAACGTTGAGTTCGGGCCTACGTGTGTCAGACAGCGTGAAATCATCGATTATACGAGGCGAGAATTCGCATTCGGCGAGAAATTCGACCGGTTACGCTCGCGCGATTCGCATTTCCCTTTGGTTAAGCGGCGATTTTCAAGTACAATTCCCACACGTGTCGGAATGTGCGGTATGAAGACTTGAGCTTTAATATGGCAGGTGTGACGATATTTCGCGGGATTCACGCTGTGGATGGCGACAAGCCGAACACGCCGAACAGCGACGTCTATTACGCCATTGTGAAGGGGAACGAGCAGGGCAAATTTTCCCTCGAATCTGGCCACAGGACCGCTCTGATACTCCGCAAGCCGGTCGACTACGACAGCGGGGATCGCGAGTTTACTTTGGTCATTACGGCGACTGTGAGTATACGTGCGCGAAGCGAACGAGCTGACGCTGAATACGGTGTGACGCCATAGATGAGCGATGAGACGACGAAACGTGGGCGAATAAGCGGTTTGCTTGCCGCCCGCGAAAGCAAATAAATCCAGAAGGGTGCAATTGCCTCGCTTAGCGACTTTGTCCGATTCGAATTTCGTGTTTTGCAGCGTGCGTTCTAAAATTGACAGTTGTAATCTCATCTCTCTTCGTTACACTACTGCTCGTCGATAGTTACGACAAAGACGTTTGCAAGCGAATACCCCTGACGTTGCTTTCTAACAAAAGTGCAGGTTTATTCAGGCGGAACCGGCAATACGGTTTTGTTTCGCGCTCTTATTTCAAAATAAACGCTTTCGCTTTTGTTCGGCGCGCGTACTTCGCGGCACTTGTGGTTATCGATGACCGAGCCGATCCGTGGGAAATGCTGTGCGAAACTAGAGAATTTCCCGCGCGATAAACACGTGTTACGATTTAATGATAGGAATACGGATAAGATTTATGTACGCGCGATTTATGTACTACACGACACGATGACGCGGGACATATGCTAACGTAATGCTTTAAGGACCGAGGCGTTCCCGCCAGAAGTACGAACAGCACCGTCAAGATAACCGTGGTGGATAACGATGATCTTGACCCGAAGTTTACGCGGGACATCTACAAGGCGAAAATCTACGAGTTTTACCCTATGCCGGTATATATACAACGATGACAATTCCTTCTTAACATACAAACGAACAAATATCCCTTGAAAATCGACACTTTCAGTAATCCAATTCTCTGAAAGATATATATATATATATATATAATTACACAAACAATCCTATTTCTAATTGTCAATTAAAAATATGACTCGTTGGAAGAACATATTTGACCTCAAAGCTCAAGATTCGAAAGTTTAGATTAATATAAGCCGAAGGCCCTTCAGCTCTTCAGCGTCTCAACTTTTTGCTTTCACATATCAAGAAGACCAAGAAGAAGAATGAGAGAAACGAAGTGTATTTAACAATCGAACAACTTCTCTACGCGGTATATGATTCAATTCCACAACGCGGCATGATTTTCCGCTTCACAGCATTATCCAATCTTCACGGAGATCAATTTCACCAGCCCGATCCACGCGGCCGATCGCGACCGGGACATAAACGTGCCGGTGCGATACGACATCATATCCGGCAACGAACGCGGCTTCTTCCACCTCGACCCGAAGAACGGCTCGCTGTTCCTGAAGCGGGCGATCGATCTCGATGCCGAGCGCAGTTTGCCGGCCAACACGTTCAATTTGCAGATCCACGCTTCGCAGGTGGACAATCCGCTGAAGATGACGGTCGCGCGAGTCGAGGTGGAAGTGCTCGACCTGAACGACAATCTACCGCAGTTCGAGGTCGACCTGTACAACATCAGCATCGTGGAGAACCTGCCGAACGGCTTCAGCGTGCTGCAGGTGATCGCGCGCGACAAGGATCAAGGTGAAAACGGCGAGTTTGATTACAAGCTGCAGGATCCCTCGGGTGCGTTCTCCGTGGACGCAGATTCCGGCTGGCTCACTGTCAAGGATCAGGCGGTCCTGGACCGGGAGAAGCGCGACCACCTGAAGATGAGGGTTTACGCCGTGGAGCACAGACCGAGCGTCGTCGCGACTGAGGGTGATCCAAAGACTGCCTCGTCCGTGGACGTCGAGGTGACCCTGCTCGACGCCAACGATAACAACCCGATCTTCGTGCCGGGCAATCTCTACGAATTGGTGGCGAGGAGCGACGCGAGAGTCGGCACTGTGCTCGGCCAGGTGCACGCGATGGACGATGACCTCGGGCCGAACGGACTGGTCCGCTACCGGTTGCAGAAACCCGGCAACTCCACGCTGCGGAAGCCACCGTTCGCGGTGAACGAGCAGACGGGAGTGATCACGGTGTCGGAGAGTCCGATACTCGAAGGTAGACACGCGATCTTCGTGGAGGCGGCCGATCAGCCGGCGAACCCCAGCGAGAGGCGATTCTCCTTGGCGGTCGTCACGGTGGACGTTTTCCGTGCGGACGGTGAGTGTAAGAATTGACCGAGAAGGCGATGACCGCGACGAACTTAGAAAGCGAACTTTTCGACCGGCGAATCGAGCGAATCGAGCAATTTGAATTTCGCCTGCGCGAATGAGATCGCGTCTGCGAGACGTTCCTCGGATCTCTCGTCGGGTCAGCGTGCTTAGATCCGCGCCGAGCCCCGCTCCTGCTGAGTCGTTCGCGTTCTTCCAGGCCCGGATTCGTGGGAACCAGATTTCGTCGGCGCGCCCTACGAGTTCTGGGTCGGCGCGAACGTGCCCGTAGGTACGAGCGTCGGGCAGATTCGCCTAAACGACGCCGTGAAAACCAACGACCTCATCTACGACTTGCTGCACGGTTACGAAGAGGGTGGTACGTATGTAGATGTAGATACAGATACGTACAGAGTGTCTGGCGATGACACGTAAGCCTCTCGTGTACGTGTAGATTAGGTCAAACTGAATAAAAGATTACTCCATCATTTTGCGAACAACCGCACGAGACGTTGAGTTATTAATGGAAGAAGATTGCCGAACGACCACGCGCGCGATACGACAGACGAGCCGCGACTGCGATTCCTGCCGCGCTTCCAGATTGGGTCAAACTGAATGCGAGAAAGACCATTTCGCCCCGCGCAATCTTCTTTAACCCATTATATCCTCAATTAATTTATCGAAGATCTTCTTATTGGATTTTTGGATCATTCAGTAGCTTTCAGCGTGTTATAAACATAAGGAACAGGTAAATAAATTTTATAACGATTTCATAATTTTGAGGTGGCACTCGAGTACCGCGTCAGGATATAAAGATCAAGTTAATTAATTAACTCAAAATCTGATGATTCCGATCGTTCGTCGTAAAATGGCGGAGGAACGCCATTTCGTTCACTTCGGCCTTTGGATCTGCAAGCGATCGATCTGCGAGAGATCGATACGTCAGCCCGTGTGTGTGTGTGTGTGTGTGTGTACTCGTATATTTACACTCGCACGCACCGCGTTAATTAATCCGTGCGCGCACTGGCCGCGCGGTCGAAATGAGAGGCCGCGACGCGTGTTTTGCGACTTCTTAACGACCTAATAAAACGGCGTGTGGTGATATCCCCCGAGCGTGGCCTAATTCCGATACGCCGTTGCGGCCGGAAACGACGGCGCGCAAAAATTGCTCGTATTACTCATGCAAATACACGGCACATGCTGCATACATGCATACATGCACGATGGGATTTCAGTTCCATTTGCCGTGGAGGAGCGCTCCGGCACGATAACGGTCGTGGAGGAGATCGAGCGCTTCGACCGATCTATATACGACTTCGAGGCGGTCGTCAGCGACGAGAGGGAGCTCGCGCTCATCACGAATGTGTCGATCCACGTGGTGGACCCCAACGACGACCGCGGCATTTTCACCAAGTAAGCGACACTTTCCCCACGTTAATGACTCCAGCGACACTTTCAGCCGCGAGTAGCGACTCGGTGAACGGGAACCGAGCGAAACGCGCGCGCGAAACGCACGCTCTTCCGCATTTCCTCTTCGTTTGCGTCGATTGCGATCTCGGCGGATCTTCGTTGATTCATCCGTTCGATTCATCCGTCGCACAGTGGGCCAGAAGCCCACTGTGGTTGGCCAAAATTCAATTTCTTGAACTTACATATGAAATCAAACTTATGTGATATTATATATTCATGTACACTTTCCTACAGTAAATGCTGAAATACTGTTTCTTTAATTGGTATTGCTTGTGGAAGGACGTGAATGTAAAAGACTGTGTTTGCAAATTTAAACGTTCTATGACTTTCATACACCTTTTGCTATGTCTAATCTTATGCCTAATCTTATTCTATCAGATGTTATAGCAGTACATTTATATCTTTAAATCGAACAAATAAAGTTATTTTTATCAATACATGAAGTTCTTCATGTTACATTGACTTTGTTTCGTCTGATAAAACTAATAGTTTCGAATCTTATAGTACACTTCAAGTGCTATAGTTCAATTTCAAATGAAACCTTCTCTGAGCTTCCACTTTGAAGTCCACTCTGAAATGAATATGATATGTCAAATTGGACGTACAATAAGGATGTACACTATAACTTGAATATGCGCCTTTTTGCGCCTTTTGCCAGAGAGAAATCATCTTTGATACCATAAGTTGCACTTACTTGAATACATGATAAGATAGAAAGTCGTAAAAACTGTCGAGAATTCGGGATTTTGTCAAATTTGTTTCCAAACTGATAAGAATAGTGTTTCGAAGTTGCCGATTTTGAATTCATTCATCGCAGCCTGCAAAAGGCTGCGCATATTCAAGTTATAGTATACATCCCTACGATTTGATAATGCAATTTGACGTATCATATGATTGATTTCAGAGTGGAAGCTCAGAGAAGGTTTCATTTGAAATTGAACTATACTCGAAGTGTACTGTAAGATTCGAAACTGTTAGTTTTATCAGACGAAACAAAGTCAATGTACCATGAAGAACTTCATGTATTGATAAAAATAACTTTATTTGTTCAATTTGAAAATATAAACGCACTGCTGTAACATCTGATGAGATAAGATTCGTAGCAAAGGGTGTACGAAAGTTATAGAACGTTTAAATTTGCAAACATAGTTTTTTACATTCACGTCCACAATTGGTATTGCTTCCACAAGCAATACCAATTAACATAAAGAAACAATATTTCAGCTTATATTTAGTGTAGGAAAGTGTATATGTATAAATATATAACATCACATATGTTTGATTTCATGTAAGTTGAAGAAATTGAATTTTGGCCAACCACAGTGGACTTCTGGTCAGGTCAGGATTGGGCCTTGTGATCGTCGCTTGTCGCGCCATTGCGCGCTACCCGCGTTTGCTTCTTTCTTCAACGTCCCCTCGATGTAATCCGAGGCGACGACGAGATCGATACGCCAGATTTGCCGGCTGATTTCGCCGGGACGCCGGGAGTCGAAAAGTCGAAGGGTGCCATTTGCTTATTCAAAAGTCGACGACCGTTGATTGCAGGGGAACGACCACCGCTTCTCTGGTCTTCCACGTGAAGGAGAACGTTCCCGGCGCATTGATCGGCCAAGTGCTTCCGCACAATCGCACAGCCGCGGCGGCGACTATGTCTGGCACTCGATTCCTTATCGTCAATCAGCAGGATGTGCCCGATGTCGCTATTATGGAGGACGGTTCTCTCTATGCTCCGGAGGGCCTGGATCGCGAGACGAGGCAGAATTACAGCATCACCGTGATTGCCGAGAGCTCGCGAGGCGTCGGCGTGTTCCAGGTGAATTACCGGCCTCCCGATTCATTTACTTTCTCTTCTCTCCTCTTCTCTTCTTCTCCTCGCTAATCGCCCGCCATCTCCGTGCGATTATCTTCGCGCGAGGCCTCGGAAATTCCACAGCTCGCGATTCCTCGATTTCGAGCGCTCCTCCGCACGATATAAAAATTGTATTGCTACCGAGACACAGGTCTCCCAAAAGAAAAAAAAAGAAAAAAAAAGAAAAAGAAAAAATCACGGTAACAAACATTCGTTCGCGTCGGTACGCGCAGGTACGAATCGTCGTCGACGACGAGAACGATCACGCGCCGGAGTTCACGCTGTCCGCTTACGACGGCCGGATCATGGAGAACAGCCCCGCCGGGACGGAAGTCACCCTGTCAAGTCCGATTGTAGCGAGCGACAAGGACGAGGGTGCGAATCAAAATTTCATCTTTGCTTTGCGCGGTGAGGGCAACGGTTTGTTCCGGATCGACCCGATAACAGGCCGCGTGTACTTTGTGGCCACCGACGACAACATCCTGGACCGTGAGTCAAGAGCCAACTACGAATTCCAAGTTACCGCCACCGACACTGGTACGTAGCTGGTTTTCCGCTAAGAACTTTTCACTCCGCAAATGTCGCGGCTTACCCGCGCGAGACTCTTTCTTTTTTTTTCGTTTTTTTTCGTGAAAAAATTCAGACTCGCGAGCGCTCGTATCTGTCTGTCACAGGCGGCTTGACGTCGGAGAGCACGTTGAGGATCACAGTGTTGGATGTGAACGACAACGCGCCCAAGTTCATACGAATGGTCGTGCTGCCGGACCAGGGTGTGCGGGTGTCGCAGGAGCCGGATGTCAAGGACGAGGCGACGGAAGACGGGAGCGTCGAGACCGGCGGCGGGCGCCGCTCGCCGTTGCTGTTGGTGCCGGAGAACACGACGATCGGCGCGCCGATAATTCGTCTGCTGGCGGACGACAAGGACGAGGGTGCGAACGCGGCGATAACGTACAGTCTCGGCAACGAGACGACTTCCGGCAGCGGCGTGCGATCGCGGCGTTACGACGCGAGCAGCCGCCGTTACTTCCACCTCGACCCGCGCACGGCCGAGATATCGGTCGCTCGCAGCCTGCCGCCGGAGAAGGACGTCCGGCTGTTCGTCCTGGCGAAGGACCCTGGCGGCTTGTCCGATAACATTACCGTCAGGATTCACGTGACGGATGTCAATGACCACGCGCCGGTCTTCGACAAGTCCTGGTACACCTTCGACGTGGCAGAGGGAGTCTACAACGACTGGACGATCGGCGCGGTTCGCGCGCTCGACGCCGACTACGGCGCGAACGCCGAGCTCACCTACGAACTCATCACCAGCCACGAGGACTCGGGTCTCGTCGGGCTGAACAACGCGTCGCGGTCGTTCAACGTGGACCCGTACGAGGGTGTGATACAAGTGAGCGGGACGCTCGATCGCGAGAGGATCACAACTCACCGTCTGCTCGTGGTAGCTCGCGATCACGGCTCGCCCAGCCTCAGCTCCTCCGTCGAGATCGAGATCAACGTGTTGGACGTGAACGACAACGCGCCGATGTTCCACGGTTACGACGAGCTGGAAGAAGGCGCCACTCGTTTGCCGGTCTACCGGGTCTCCGTGCTGGAGAACAGCCCGATCGGCACGCAGGTGGCCAAGGTGTACGCGAACGACAGCGACTTTGCCGGTAACGGCAACGGACTGATCTTGTTTGACCTGAGCTACCAGGATCGTGCGGAGAAGCAGTACTTTGCGGTGGACAGCAAGGAAGGCGTCATCACAACCATCGCCAAGCTCGATTACGAGACCAAGAGGAGTCACCGTCTGATCGTCACCGCGAGCGACCTCGGTTCACCGGTTAGTCTCACCTCCTCGGCGGTGGTTCTCGTGACGGTGTTGAATGTTGACGACGACGACGACGACGACGACGACGACGACGGGAACGGTGGCCGCCAGGACGCTGACAACGAGGTGCACAAGATGCCGACCTTCCAGCATAGGTATTACGAGGTGGAGGTCGACGAGAATACCACTGTGCCGCTGTTGGTCGCACAGCTCGACCTCGCTGAGGATTATCACGGCGATCACATCAGGTACAGCGTCGTGGCAGACGGTTCCGACAGCAGGGATCATTTCTCCGTCGACCCCAAGAACGGATCCCTCTATCTCACGACGGAGATCGACCGGGAGACTCGGGAGCGTTACGAGGCGAAGGTCAGGGTCGACCGGGTGAAGATCGGCCGTGGCATGCCGGTGATGATCTATCCGGTGACCGGCGACAGATTAAACGGCCTGGCGCCTAACGAAGCCAGGGTGATCGTGAGGGTGAAGGACGTGAACGACAATGCGCCCAGATTCAAGTTCAAAGGCAGGCCCATCCTCGCGGCCATACCCACTAGCGCTCATTACGGTTACGAGGTCGTCAAAGTGGAGGTACGTGTGCGTGTAAGCGCGAGCGCGCTCAAAGCGAGCTCGGTTTTAATCCATTTTGGTTTTTACTCCTTGCGCGCTCTGTGCTCTCGTCTTTTCGCGTGGCCCCGCTCGGACCCTCTTCGCTCTTGATTTCGAGCTTGATTTAATTTGCCGAGAGTACTCGCCGCTCGGCTGATCTTTTTTTCACCGCACGTGCAGCTTTCCGTTCGCCGCGCTGTAACGGCAATGTATTAATTGCACGAGCGATGCGTCGCGCTTGCGAAGCGGAAATTCCATACGATCACCAGATGGACCGGGAGAACCCCAGCAGTGCGGCGAAAGGGTCGAGTGTAGTCGCGAACGAAACGAAACTTTGCGAGCTTTGCGCCGTCGGAAGTGCGATTCAGTATCTCACCGTGCGACGACTTTGGCGACTCGCAGGCCGAGGATCCGGACGAAGGGGTAAACGGCGAGATACGCTACCAGATTCTTGGCCGGGAGGATGCGCCGCGTTTCGCCATCGACCCGCTCAGCGGCCAAGTGAGATCCGTGGCGAGTTTCGGACGCGACGCCGGACGCGTCTTCGGTTTCGACGTCAAGGCCACCGACAGGCAGGGCGCCGAGAACGGACGCAGCAGCATCGCCAACGTCTTCGTAAGTTGCGAGTCCGCTGTGTTCCACCCCCCTCCCCTCCATCTCTCTCTCATACCTCGGTGTATCTTAATTGCTCGCTGTTCAGAGATAGCGCTCCGTCTAATTTTCCCGTCGGGGAAATGGCTGTTCCAAAAGACGGAAGCTCTACCTCGCTCTCTCTCTCTCTCTCTCTCTTTCTCTCTCTGTCTCTCTCTCTCTCTCTCTCTCTCTCCCCCTGTTACTTCCCTCCCCCGCATCTCCCGCCCACGTCTCATTCGACAGCGATCCGACAGCGGAAGTCTGTTCCGCTCCATATGGTACACATCTCGCCCTTGAATTCGCAGGTGTACGTGTTGGACGATCAGAAACAAGTTGTCATGGTGATGGGACGGAAGCCTATCGAGATCGAGCCGGAGCTCGACAACATCACCGTGTAAGTTTCGCCTCGCGTCGACGCGCCGTCGCGATCTACCCGCGACGACCTATACGCGACGTATTTACGAGTTGTTTTTCAGCACACTGCAAAACGTCACCGGCTTGGACGTGAGAGTGCGCAAGCTGGAGCCGCATATCGAGAAGAACCTGATCGACGCGGCCTCGTAAGTGATTCCGCCGAGCGGCGTCGCGGCGCCGGCCGGCCGACCCTCGCGCGTTCCGCTCCGACCGAGTTCAGGCTCAAGGCATTGTTTTCTCTTTCCTTTTTCAGCACCGATGTTTATCTCTACGCGATCGACCCTCATCTGAACGTCATGGTGGACATGGACACGTTGCACAGGTGATGAGTCGTGTTAACATCGAGAATCTCTTATCGATTAATCGGAAGCTGATCCTTCCTTAGCAAGAGTTTCATCACTGGCAATTTGCTTTAATTAGCGCGATGTTGCTCACGAGACGCCTCATTTCCGGGCTATCGCTGCCTCGAGCGTTTTGTCAAGGAGAGATTATTCTAGCTAAAGTCGATTCGCTATCCACACAAACTTTCGTAATTATATTACCGAGTTACTGTAAAAAAAGATGTTCTAACAACACACACACATACATATACGCTGGACCTCTCAGCGTTTTCAACAGCAAAAAGATGGACATAAAGCGCGAGCTGGACGAGTATCGCGTGCTGGAGATCGCCGGCAGCGCTCCGCGTAGGGGCAATCAACGTTACCTGCTGTCAACCCTCGAGGTGGGCGTCGTGGTGCTCGGCTGCGTCGTGTTCGTCGGCGCCCTCGTGACCGCCCTGTGCGTCGCCTGCGTCCGCCGCAACAAACGGTACGCGGAATACGGTTTTGCTCGCTCGCCACCTCGCCTAACGTCGGCTCAACGCTCGTCCATGTTGCCGTACTAACTCCCTGGATGAATCTCAGGAAAGGGCCTCTCTCTCTCTCTCTCTCTCTCTCTCTCTCTTTCTCTTCCTCTCGCTCTCGGTCTCTTTTCTTCTCTGTCTCTCTCTGTCTCTCTCTCTCTCTCTCTGTCTCTCTCTGTCTCTCTCTGTCTCTCTCTCTCTCTCTCTCTCTCTCTCTCTCTCTCTCTCTCTCTCTCTCTCTCTCTCTCTCTCTCTCTCTCTCTCTCTCTCTCTTCCCCTATCTCACGCGATCTCCTTCATTCTGAAACAAAAAAAGACGAAATATTAATTCATTAACGCTCATTAACACATCGCTACGTTGGTTCCCGGTGGCGTCGTCTAATCTTTCGCGGGAAGAAGTAACGGGAAGCACACACACCGCGAATAACGCGAAAAAGTCGAGGGGAAAAATCGAGTCGCTTCGCTTGGCTTCCCCGCGGCGTCGTTCTCTCGGAACGTTAATCTCGCATCATCGTGGCGAACCGCGCGTGCTTTGAACGGCAGTGTCGAATTCCATACGTTAGTCGTAGACGACGGGAGAAGGCGATGTTCTCGACCGTCGGCCCGGTAGGATTTGCATTGACGGACCCCGCCGGCACCCTGCAAAAACCGCCGCTCTTTCCCACCTTCGTCGACGGCCTTCACTACGACCCCGAGCCCTTCTGCTCCGAAATGCCCAGGCGGCAAAGCGTATGCGAGCACGGCAGAACATGCGGCAGCAGCTGCGTCCGTTTTCACACGTAAGTCCGATCCCGTCTTGGTCGACGATTATTATCAGGGTGATGCGATACCGCGCTGAGAGGAAGTTGGCGCGGTTTCGGTGACGTTACGTCTCCCGTGGCTTGGCCGGAAAAAAGCCGTTATCGATTTCTGCGCTTGCTATCGGGGAATAGTTGAGTGTCTCGCAACATCGACGCCATCGCCACGGGCTATTTTCAGGGTGGGCGGGGGTGGCAAACACGCGGTGAGGTCGACGGGTACGTTGAAAGGCCTCGAGGCATCTGCGACATCCTTGCATTCCAGCGGTCAGGATTCTGGCATCGTGGCGCGCGCGTCCTGCCATTGCAGTCACTCGTCCAGTCCTTCCAGCGGCGAGAGCAGCAAGTGAGTAACTCCGCAGGTACAAGTTCCCGTCGCTCAAACTGCGCTTTGCCCAGCGAGAGCGATATACGCGCGTATATACCGCGCAAGTACAGAATCGCGGTGTCTCGGTTTGAACTCGGCAGGTGCTACTCTCGGAAGCAGTTTAGAGCGCTCGAATTCGTCGCGCAAACGAAAATGCAGAGTTGTTCTCAGAGCGATTGAGCGACTGAGAACTCTCGCTCCTCTAGCCTCAGCTTCAGGCGGTCTAACGGTCTAACCTTCGCGGTTGATTTCAAACGGACTTTGCTTTAATAGAATTTGAATTCCGTATCTCTCTCTCTCTCTCATTTCTCCACTCCCGCTGTGTGATTCGCTCGAATCTTTCTTTTCCTTCTTCGGATTTTAGTGGCTACGAGGATTCGCTGAAATCTCTTCAGCGTCGCGAGAGGGCCAATGAGGTCTCGCGAGGGGTCCACGACACCTCGAGCGTGGTCGGGAGACGGGCGAATCTGGCTGCGAAGCGACGCCAACGATTCCACTCGTTCTCGAACGGCGAAACGGTTTATACCCACGAGATGACGTTACAGCGGGAGCAGCATTGCTGCGGCGGTACCGAGAAGAGGCGGAAAGCGGAGCACCGTCGCGCGCATTCCGAAGCGGAGAACAATATCACCGAGACGGTGATACACGAGCATCCGGGAACGGAAATCTCGTTAGCCAGCTCCCTGCCGAACACGTCGACTCTTCATGGTAGGTCGATGTCGCTGATGACGGTAGAGGAACGTTGCTGACGGGGATTGAAACCGGTATAATTTCGGCGCGCTGAATTTTCCAATTCTGTATACTTTGGATCATCGCTCGCGGCTCGATTTATAATTCTTTCTCGTCGCGCATTCTCCCTTCTCTGCCCTCTCCCAAAGGAGCATTTCAAAAATAAGATTTTCGTCCAAAGCGAAAATTCGGACGAGGAGATCTCCGCATTAACGGAGTTCTTTGTCTTTGCGGTGAACATTTGGAACTCGAGGTTCGTTGAGCTTGCAAAAAATCTTCGGTTTCAATCTCTGGTCGTCGTTGAGAAGGGATGAAATCGAGTGTGTCGCAAGTTGTCGATATCTTTTGTGTCTTTTGATCGCATTCTTTTTTCTTCGACATATTCGTTAAAATTTTTTTAATAACAGATTAGTGATATTTCGAAAACTTTGAATCGCGTTGTACTTGAGCGATTAACAGTGCAACACTTGCAACGCTCATTATTAGTTGCGAAAGAGCAGCCTTTGCACATACAAGGTATTTCAAAAAACGTGGGCTAGCTATATACGGTTATATTCTCCTCATTAAAACAAACAGAAATATAGAAACAATGAAATTAATTTTTTTTCATTTTCACTCGACATCAACCTTTTAACTAAACATTTTAGGTACTATGGATGTGTGAACTCTTTTGTTTGTCTTGATGAGTAGAATATAAATAGCTCACCTTTTTTTTGAAACGCCCTGCGTACCGAGAAGAAAGATTCGTTATTCCGAAAATTGACAGAAAAGATCTGAAATTTTCAATAGATACTTTTCATCCCCTAAAAAGACGTACGCTTCCTGAAACGACGAATAGACGACGTGATTGAAATCACGAGTAGCACGCTTCTGCGAAGACTCGGATCTTTCCCGAATTTTTCGGATTCGCCTTTCTTGCGCAGCTTGATTCCATCCCTAACGGCGTATAATTGACGAAATTGAACGGGTAACCGAGTTGCAGGTACATCAAGAACTAGCCACATGCTCTACTGATGGTACCGATCTGTAGAAGGAGGAGAATCTCCGGCCGAGAGGGACGCCGAGGTGTCGACCACGTATTTTCCCATTCGTTAACTTAAACCTCCCTTTGCAAAGTCGCGCGTAACAATTACTCTCCTACGTCGTGTCATCCCCCTGCCAAAGTGTTCGCGCACGTCGTCGAATCGCAGAATCATTCATTTCTGTAAATACACGACACTGCTCTTCAACACATTCGATCTTCCTTCCTGAATCAATCGGGATAGATTAGATAACAGCGCCGGTAACTATCGTTAAGATTATTTATCGCGCAAATATTGAAACGTGAGATGTAAATGTTTATGTATGATATTTGATATGCCGTATAATCCGCGTGTTGTAGATTGTGTACAGATATATATATATATATATATATATGTTTTTTGTTTATACGTTTAGTCAGAGATTTTTCCAGCGGGTTATAATCCCGATTGTAATCCTTAGCGGCCTTATTTAATCTTTTCATGTAACATGTGTGGACGTTTGTAGAATGTAATAAAGTGTAACATAGTGTATTTTATGTCCCGCACTGGCGAGTTCCTCGCCGATTAACGTCTTGTAAATCGTTGATAAGGGGAATAGAGGTAATAAAGGATATGTAAATTTTTCCACGACGCATGGGAATTTTCGCAGAGATTGCTTTCTGATTATGGCTACGCGCTTACGCGCAAGTCTGATCCCTCGAGTGATTTCTCATAAATAAAACTGCGAATTACAACCGCTCGAGAGAAAGAGCTTCGGAAAATTGAAGAAAAAAGGAACGATCGCGGCTTAATTAAAGCGCGTTCTTCGCGTAGTTGCGGTTTTCAATCCATTAAAGTTGACCGCTATATGCACTCGCAAGGCGCACTCGTGTGTCAGACCGAAAGTGACCTTCGGGGACACGTCGATGTCGTCGACAAGCCGCAATTCCTCGGAGAGTGCTCCGACATCCGAGGAATCTCTCTACCGCGATTAAATCAGCGTGGGTGTTTTAATTACGATAAATCGAATTCGCGCCGGCACATTATTAATCTCTCTCTCTCTCTCTCTCTCTCTCTTTAAAGGGAGATAGCGGAGCAATTAGGAGAGGAGGAACAGCGGTGTAAATTATTGATAATACTCCGCGCCAGCCGGAGCGCAGACTCGCTTCTGATTGCCTTTTTATTACGATCGACTGCAGATGATGAACGATTGTCTGGCCGTTCGCGTTTTTAAAGCGACGCAACGCAAAAACGACCGCTTTGTCTTGCACCGCGAGAAGAACGATACTGTCTATACGAAGGATCTTTCTTGCGACGACGCTTTCTTCAGCAATCAAAATATTGTTAGCTTTTTCACGCGCATCGGCGATTCGCGCGGTGAATCGAAGTAATAATCAGTCATTCCTTCGGATTGAACCTCACTGCACGCGCGAGGAACCACTTGCGATCATACGAAGAAAAAATATGAAAAAAACACAAAACTGCACAATTCACATTTCGAGCGAAGGAGACGAGGAGCAACGAAGGTCCTTTCTCTTGCCAAGCGCATACTCGACTTACTCGACGCTCGCGTCGCATTGGATGTTTATCTAGTCTGCGTGCTACCGCGAAGAAGGGCGCACCGATAGCCAGAGCGGATCCGATCGCGGGACCAGCCAGGGTGAATTGGGGTGCTTAATACGTTCAGTAAATAAGTTTCAAGCGCTCGATCGAGCCCGGCCGAATCGAATTACGCCATCGATTATGGGATCAGGCCGGCGCTCGGCTTAAAAGGTTCGCCGATTAACGTAGACGGCCGCGACTACTTCGACCTCGACCTCGGCTGAAGGGATATCTCGAGGACGTTATCGATAGCGTTATCGAGTCTCATGCGCGGACACGGAAATCGTGGATAACCGTGGGAAAAGCGAGCAAAGGGCAGCGCGAAGAGACGTGTCCTTGCCGCCGGCGTGGGATTAAGTATCAAATATTTCACTCAAGTATTCGAGTAAGTCTCTCGCGGAAGCCTCGTTGATGAAAACCGCCGCGATTTCGCAGTCAACCGACGGGTTGCAAGGTCGCGTCCTTCGATTCTCTGCCCTCTCGCGAGCCACTTGTCCGGAGCGTATCGACGCTTCTCTGCTTTTCTTTCATTTAGCCGCGGCTTTATAAGGAGGACCTGTTATCTACCTTTGCGTGCGACAGCATTCAAAGAAGCCGGCCGAAATTCGATCCGGAGAATGGATGTCCCGCGCGTCTCGATGTCGAATCGCACATTTCGTCAGGAATTCATCATTGCGTATCGATATAGCGGGCTCCCTATCAAGATTCATCGCGATAGAATCTCATCGTATACATCGTATACATGAAGGATATTGAAGGATTTTGGGATGGGAATCATCGGGAAGAGGATTTCGGCCGGGACGCCGAAAAGGAGGTACCGTTTTTAGGTGGAACGCAAAACACGACCGAAGATGAAACGAAAGGCGCGCGCGGGAGCGAGCCGGAAAAGACGAGCCCGCGCACAATTTTGTCCGGCCGCCGCGTTGCGCCGCGCCGCGCCGCGCCGCGCCGCGGCCGGTGTGACGAGATTCATCACTCGGCCGTGCCGGCGCGAGAAGCACGTTTCCGTGCGGGCACGTCCGCAGCATTAATATCGCCCTTCGCTCTAGCACGCTACATCATAAATACGGCGCACTTAGGTGGAAACGCGCTCCCGTAATAGTCCGCTCTCTCCCGGATGGAAACTCCGATGGACTCGCTGCGACTCTTAAGTATCGATCCACGCGGGAGAGAAAATGAAGGACTCGTTTCTCGTGCTTTGGGCGCCAAGGCGAGCTAATTCGCATATTCAATCGTATGCATTAGGGCCGCTATTAGATGCACGTTGAAGCAGCATGGCGCAACGGCCAGCAGCAGCAGCAGCAGCAGCAGCAGCAGCAGTAGCAGCGCAGCAGCCACCCTACCCGAAACTCGATCACTCGTTACACACGGCGTTCAGCTCTAATATCGCTCGCGAAGGTCACAGGTCGCGTGTCACACCGGCTGACGACGACCTTGCCCTTAACCTACACGTTAGCTGATTAAAGGACCATCGTGTTTCGGCCCCTCCGAGAGGAACATCCCGACGAGTGTCGTCTGGAATCGATGGGCAATCCCCGCCGACGGGAACGTGTGGCAGAGCGGCTGGGAGGAGGAGGAGGAGGAGGGGAGGAAGTACAGGGACGGCCGGTCAAGAATGTCGGTGCGAGTTTAAAATTGCCCGGAATTCTTTGGACGGGTAGTTTCGCCACGGGCGATTAATCCGTGAATTCCCGCAGTTCCGGAAGTCCGCCCCGCCGCCGGCAGGGTGATAGGTAGTATAAAGTCGCGAGACGAGCGAAGACGGTACGAGGGTGGGAAAAATTGCGCACGGGACTTTTGGGACGGGGTCGAGGTGGAGGAAGGGGTGGAGGACGAGGAGAGACGGGTAAAAGAGCGAGAGAGAACGCGGGGCGGGGTAAAGAAGAGAGTGGAGCGAACGATTTTCAAAGTGCAATTTCTCACTGATGGCGAAGGAGATGCGTGGAACGAGCGCTGCGTTCCTCGACGACGGCGAAGCAAAAAAAAAACACAAAGTAAAAAAGAAAGGGGAAAAAAGAAAGAAGAGAACTCGCGCTCCTCTTCTGCAGGGGAGGAGCGCGAGTTACCTATATGCAGTTTATACTAACGAAGGGAGCGTCCTTGTCTCATTGTGCCGAGAGAAGAGATCGTCGTCGGCGAGATCGCCGGCGAGATCTGAACATTCTCTTTCGAGATTCTCGCCGGGATAATAGCGATGGAGATGAAAGTAGATTGGGGGCGAGAGGAAGAGGCGGGAGTGAAAGAGCGAGAGCGAGAGCGAGAGCGAGAGAGGGGGAGGCGGGAGGAAGCGAGCGAGAAAGAGAGGCTGAGGAAGAAGGGGTGCATAGAGGGAGAGATACCGATAACTCGCCCTCTCTGCGCCGTTGCGTCCAAGTATTCGGAAAAATACCGCAGAGTTTCTTACTTGGCTCAAGCGTTCGTAACAGAAAGCATCGCGCGCGCGCGCGCGCGCGTTGCCGCTCGACGCCGACATCGCTCGCAGCCGAGCAACGACGTCCCGAAAGGATGCAAATCGGGTTACCGGTCGGCCGGAGATAACCGCCGCGCGGTTTAGCCGTAATAATTGCGATCCGGTAATCCCGATTGCCGCGGATCGTCCTGGCCCCTCAGTTTCTCGCTCCGCCGCGACAATCCGGCGATAAATTCAAACGACGCAGTCGGGTCCCTCCCCCCGACTTTCCGTTTGGCGTGACGGAGAATTATCGTTCTCCAAAGAGACCCGAGGATTCGCGCTCGCGCAGCCCTGCTCGCTTCGTTTCCTCGTCAAAACCGAAAACGCTCGAGACCGGATCTTAACCACCGCGAACGACGTAATTTTCTATCGCGCCACTTCCGGGATCGCTTTCTCGCCGGGCTGTTACGTTTGTGCGGCGTCCGCAATCTAGTCGAATTTTTGAATTGTCGAAATATCCGAATGTAAACGTCGGAACGGCTCAAACTTCGAGATTGGACCTCGAGTTTCTTTCGGATTCTTGTTCAACTTCTTTCCGACCACAGTTGAGCAATTCTAATGGATCGAATCGCGAAGTTTGCTTAGTGGCGCATCGGTGCCGTAAAATTTCCGCGAGAACAAGAAATACTGGAAGCGCAAGATATTCCCCGTCTCGCGATATCGGAGAGGACGGCCATGGAGAGCAACCGCGTTCGTTCCAATTTAGATGTTCCAAAGATGTTGGCGCGAGACGATTCATTCGTTTCGCAAAACTGGCGGACGTTGCGGTAGGTCGATGACCGGGCCTTATATCGGCCCGCTCGACAAAGTCGAACTTGGCCACGATGACGACGAGGACGACGACGACGACGACGACGACGACGACGTCCCGGGATTTATGATCCGCTCCGAAGTTTTCGCGTCGAGCTTCACCCCGCGCGCCTTCATTGTTTCGATCGTCTCCGTTCCACCGCAACTTCGCAATCTTGCTCCTCGCGGAGCAAGATGCACGAAAGGTAATCCTCGGTCGCGAGGAAGAACGCAGATATGGGAATATAACAGGAACGGGATATAAGGCGGCTATTTCGGCGAGAGAGTTACGAAGCGAGCGATACGAAGCGAGGGAGAATGGCAGTCGGCTATGTTGATGGCGCATTGTGCGATCGTAGACATCGGTATCTTACCTCCCCTCGCACTTCATTCTCCCTCCCTCCCCGTCCCGCTGTTATGCTTATATTAGGAATATGATGGAACGGATAAGGGAAGTATACGATACTTATTTCGGCGATAAATCTCAAAGGCCGAGACGCGGGAAAGTCGGATTGCTCGTTGCAATTCCTGCGAGGTCCCCCTTCGCAGAGTCGCTCCTCGGCTGTCGTGCTTGAAGTTCTGAAAACAAAAAACCGACACTTTTTCTCATTGATTACTCGGCGGGTCGAGGACTACGGTCTAACGATAACCGACGAGTGGGTAAACAGAAATTAGTCAAGAGACAGACGTCGACGTATAATTGGCTTTTAATGGTAATCGGCCTCGTTAGCTGAGAAATTCGCACCCTACTGATAAGGAGAGGCCAAATGCATAAGTAAATAATGGCAGAGGATGAACCGAGT